GGAAGTAGAGATAGGTCTGAACATCCACAAAAAATTTGATTGGTGGAATGTACACGTGTCAGCGGAATTTTAAGTCAAGAGCGTCAAAAGCGCAGGTAAAGGACAGTAAAAGCGCAGCCAAAACGCACAGTCCACGTGACAACTTTTTATTGAATATGCATACGTATTTATAGATCCGCTGTACGGACATAACAATTTTCCAACCAAAGAGTCGATTAAAGAAAAGTCAAATTTACATAAAGAGAAAAGAATATCCGCCCCGATTCCTCATTTTTCACACCTTTGGCATAACCTTCGCCTCGCTCCCGAGAGTCCCGATCTCACAAAACCTGCAAACAAATTTCGCTTTCCCGCTGCGTCTCTCTCCGAGATCGGGATCCCTACGTCGCCTCCATTTCTTATTGTCGATGGGTTGCGCTTCCTCCATTCCAGGTCTTCACTGTGCCTCCCTCCCTTCTCTTCGAGGGTTTTCTCCCTCTGTTCCGGAAATACCTGACTTATCAATTCTTTGTTACCCTTTGATGATTTATTGTTCCAACTGCAACATCCATTAAGCAAATTCATTTCGCAACGATTACACAGGCTATAAGTGGTTATTTTGGTTGATCAGCTTGTATTTAAGTCATTTTTTTTTCTTTTTGCACGTGATCGTTTCACCTTTGTGGTCGTTGGGCTGTTTTGAGTTATTCCATATAGGGAAGCTAAAGAGAGTTGATAGATTAGAAAATTTTTCGTATCCATGTTTATTTTTTCAGCGAATTCAACTTTGGAAAAAAGTGATTTGAGGTTTTGCGGAGGGATTGTTGTTGTATCGGACAGTTCTTTTCCTCCTTCTGATTTGATGGTTTATATTGTCACTCAAGACATCGTTTAAACTTTGGATAATTTTCTGAGGGATTCCCCTAAAAATACGGGGTTATTTTCGTGGATCATCGTGTTTCTAAGTTGTTTATTTAGTAGTCGTCTTACCTTTTTAGTTGTTAGGTTTGTTTCAGCTGCATTCTTGTTACTGTGTTTATTTCCTTGTAGGGAAGCTCGAGAAAGTTCATATAGTAGGAAATTATCTTTATCCTCAATTTTTTTTAGGCAATTCAGTTAGGAGAGAAGTAATTTTAGTTTTTGGAAGTGCTGTATGGGGCAGTTTTTTTATTAGATTTCGATGGATTATTTTGCTGAAATAGCTCTCCTACTCTTTGAGATTGGTTACTTATAATATATTAATTTATTGCTCTTCATGATTGGTATGGCTACAAAGAAAAGCTCACAAGCAGGTTAGTTTGAGTATATTGAAGCACTGTGGATTTCTTTTCCTTTATGCTTTATGTGAAGTCAGTATATTATGCTCATTTAGAAATCATGCATATATTTTATATGAGTTAATCTTTTGAATCTCTCTCTCTCTGTCTCTCGCTCTCTAGCTCACTAGCATGTCTCACTTCCCTTAATCTCCTTTCTCTCTCTAGTGTTTGTGTTCACAAGCATTGCATGCATGCATATGATGAATTTGTAACGCCCTCTTTCCAAATTGATATGCTTAAGTTGGAGAACATGACTCAAATTATTCATTGCTTGTAATCATGACATATGATCCAATTTATTTTCTTCTTGAAGATTGGTTGTAAAGGTTGTTGATTTCTAGTAATTGGCTTTGTGATTCAGGTTTTTGTTTTTCTTTGGCATTGTCAATTCCTATTAAACAAAACTAACTTGAGCAAACTTTGTAAAAAAGTTAAACAATGCTTTGAACTCTAGGTAGATGTTAATGCATGCAGCGTTATCCCGAAATTGTATAGTGGTTGTTCCTAAAATATGACCCTATGAACTTCATATTGCCATGGAGCCAACTTAACTATGGTGCTAGGTTTGTTCTTACTGATATGTATTTTTTTATTTTATTTCTTGTAGATGAGTGGTACAAATAATGTAATTGAACATCTCTTCAAGTTCCAAATTACATGATTTTTTGGTCTAGCTTATTCTGTTGGTTAGGTAATTGATACAACTTCTAGAAAGTGTATGTGTTCTCAATGATCTTTATATTGAAAAAGCAAATGATTGAATAAATGTAGAGTTTTACTTGAAGATGGAATTACAAAGAGGGCATATGCTGCACTCTATTAGTAGATAATTAATAAAAAAATATTTCCTTGAAAATACTAACAAGTAACAACGATACTGGATAATCTTACCGCAAAGTAATAACTGCAGTTGAATTAGTAATTGGTACTTTTCATTGGATAGTAGAAACTATAACGTGAATGTTGTTAAATTTTGTAACAAGATTAAATAAAAGGGTTTTGCAGAAGTGAATGATATGAGAGAGAACATTTATGAAGAGATGCGACCTCATTATTTTTATTTTTATCTTCGTATTAGTAAAATTGAAATTGATGAGGCTTTAAAGAAAATGAAGTGTGAAAAAGGAGTGTAGGACCTAATGATATTCCAATTGTTGTGTGAAAATGCTTAGGTGATCAAAGAATTTATTGGCTTACTAAACTTTTAAATATTATTTTGATGACTAAAAAGATGTTTGATGAGTGGTGAATGAGTGTATTGATTTTTTTTAAAGATAAAGGTGATGCAAAAGAGTGTGTGAATTATAGAGAAATTAAGTTATTGTGTCATATATTTAAATTATGGGAAAGAGCAACTGAGCATAAGTTACTATGTGATATTAATGTTTCTCAAATTCAGTTTAGATTCATGCGGGTAGGTCTACTATGGAAGTTATATATTTGTGGAGAAGATTGATGGAGAAGTATAGGGAGAGGAAGGAAGATCTACCTATGATATCTATTGATTTGGAGAAAACATATAAGAAAGTTCCAAGAGAAGTGGTCTAGAGATTCTAGAAAAGAAAGAAGTTAATACTATTTATATCCAAGTCATTAAGGATATTTATGCAAGAGTTGTTATTTATGTTCAAACACAAGGTGGTTTGACGAAGCATTTTCCTATCTTAGTTGGTTTACATCAAAAACCAACGGTAAGCCTATATTGTTTTGCTTTAGTCATGAATGTTCTTACTAGACATTTGCAAGAGGATGTACCTTTGCGTATGCTTTTTTTATGATATTCTTCTTGGTGATAAGATGTGAGGGAGTTGATGAAAACCTTGAATTATGGTGGTCAATAGTGATTCCTTAGTAGGTGAACACATTAAGGATTGGGATTCTAAACTCCCCACAGCTGAATTTTCCTACAATAATTCTATGAATCACACAACTGGTTTAAGTTCTGCTGAAATTGTATATGGGTACAAACCTAGACAACTTTTAGATCTCATACTCATGTGTCCCAGGTATAGGATTTATGAGTTTGCATCCTTATTCGCATCACATTTGCATGAATTACATAAAGAAATTACACGCCAAATTGAACAGAGCAACATTAATTATAAACTTCATGCTGATTTGAAATGAAGATTTAAAATATTCGAGGTTGGTGATTCAATGATGGTGCGGATTCGTCTATAACAGTTTCCATAAGGAGTCGTTAAGAAATTACATGTTAAAAGTGCAGGATCATTCAAAATAATCAAGAAAATCAATGACAATGCTTACACGGTGGATATGTCTGCTGAATTTAATATTAATCCCTTTTTTAACTTTGAAGATTTAGTAGCCTATGAGGATCCAGAGTTTAACCCACCATATCCACTACAAATTGAGCATTGTGTGACTCCACCCTGTGAGAATCCAAGCTTACCTCCACTCCCAAATGTTTCCAAAATACCTATAACGGAGAAGGTTGACATGATTCTAAGTGATGACATCATTTTCACAAAAGAGGGTGGACGAAGAAGGTGTTTGATAAGGTAGAGAGGCCCGAGTCAGAGGACACTTGGTTAGAGCACGAGGAGCTTCAGCATATTGACTCAGATGCACTAGAGATTTATGAGAGCACCCGGGACGCATACTCAACAGAGTCGAGCTCTTTTCCACCCCAGGAGAATGATGAGGACATCCGACCTTGGAGAGTTTACCCGAGATGATGCCGACGATCTACGGCCACGATTGCACCGCTTTACTTTTGAGTTATTGTTTGTATTAGATTTATTATTATGTTTGCATTGAATTTATTATTACATATTTTTCATTTGTACCCTCACTTGAGGGAGTAGTCCTATGTAAGCCCTAAGGATATTTTGGTCTTTTATTTTTCCTTCATTGTATGATTGGCTATTTAAAGCCACTTCCTCATCTTCTGAGGGGAATGATGTTACAAATAAAGCACTTGTGCTTGGGAAGAGTTGAGAGAGTTCTCTTGAGAGTGAAACCCTAGGTGAGGGTAAGTATTACCCATAAGCCACAGGAAGCGTTGGGCTTGTGGTTCATCATCTCCACCAACTTCCTCTCTTCCTTCCCTAATCGCCAACCGCCCCATTCTTCTCCACAAGCCACCGACCGCCATTTCCTTCCCCCTCCAACCATCGGCCTCCACCCTCCACCCCTCCTAGCCACCAACCCAAGAAGCCCCATCCCTCCTCCTTCTAGCCATCGGTCCCTAGACCACCCTCCTCCCCAACCACCGGCTAAACTCCTCCCAAACCCCAACCCTAGCCACCGGCCACTAAAAAATTCTCATCCCTAGACCCAGAATTACTACCTTCCTAATATACCCCGTTATTAATTTGGAAGGTATCTTAATTCAAATTCATCATTTGAATTTCAAAAACTTCCCTAATTAATAAAACCTAATTTTAAGAAAGCCCCAATCTATGCAAATCTGAAATTAAATCAGATTTAATGTCAATCCCACATTCAACGAATGTCGACACCAATTAATCCCCTCCCCTTCTACTTAGCTGCCAACCCCCTCTCTCTTCCCCTTTCCTTCTTTTGAATTACATTAAAGCCTCTTTCTTAATTGAGATTGGCTTTGATTGGTAAGCCCTTAATTCCCTCCCGTATCCCCCCCTATTTCTCTTTCAAATTAATTTCCCTGCCAACTATTCCTCCTATTTAATTTTAGATTTTCAAATTTTTTTAAATTAATTTCAGATTTACTAATTGATATCTTCCCTACCACACTCCCATAAAATCTGAAGTTTATGTGTTACTTCCTTCCTTCCTTCATTGTATGGCGGATCCTGAACAATACCACGGATTTGTCTACAACAATCAAGGGCAAATTGATATCCTCAAATCTCCATTCTTCGACGTCAACTTGGAGATCGACCGTACCGTTGAAGACTACGTCGAAAGAATTATCTACTCTCTCGTCGCCGCTATTGACGAACAACTCTCTCCTGCTCGGGGGCAAATCATTTCCAAATCTTGATAAAGGTGAATTTCTCCTCCAAGTCTTTACTTTTTCTAAGTCTTACCTTTAATTTGTGGCATCATAAAGGTTGCACAACCTATCTCCATTTAGCCTACATCAAGAGTGTGAGTGAGTGGATCCAATTAGTGCCTAATCTATATATTAATATAGGAATTTTCTTTAAACTCCTCCATGCTATGCTAATTGTGATTGGAACTGATTATTCATGATTATAACTTTTATCATGTAATTTGGCCTAAGCTTAACTCACTTATTGCTTGTTTTCAAGATTTATTTAAAATCGCTAAAAGTCAACTAATTATTGTTTTTCTAATTTAAAGGCGTATAATTTCAAACATTGCATACTTGCCAATGCATGTAGTTCTACATCATCATAGAGATAGACTTAAAAAGATTTTGGTTAGAGAATATTGGCTTTTTATATTAGGTTTAAATGAAAAATTGACTATTAATATGACACAATGGAGAAAAATGATTCACGTAGCCAACCCCACATATGTTGTAACCATCCATATTAGTTGTAAAATTGTATCACTGGCAGGGAGTCGAGGGAATGTTGAATGAGTGGCATGGACCGTTACAACATGAAGTCACAAACCCAATTCATTTTCATGTAGATGATTTAAGTTAAAGACTGAAAAAAAGCTTCTAGTTACAATTTCTTGGTTAACTTATGAGATGCTTGTCTTTCTTTCATTCCTTTTTGTTATGAGAATTATTTTGGCATATACTTCAAGACTTAATTAGGCTCTTTAAAGATTCACAGCTGACGCAGTCATATATATGCTGTAAATGATGCATGTTGTGAATGGAAGGTTTATTTATGCCCCTTTTCAGATGGTTCTGCACAAGTGAACGATTTGAAAAGAAAAAAAAAACATTTAGAAAGAGAAATGAACTAAAAAATTGTATAAGATAGCCAACTATATTAGTTAACTTGTAAAATTAAATTACTAGCGGAGGGAACTTTGGACAATACATGTCATTATAGCTTAAATGCTTAATAAGTGACATGGATAGTTATAAAATGAAGTAAAATAGCCAATTTATTATTTTTTTTCTGCTTTCATCTTCGAGTAGATGATTTAAGTTAAAGACTTAAAAAAAGTTTTACTCACAATTTCTTGATTAAATTATGAGATGCATGTTTTTCTCCTCTTTGTTTTTTTTTTTTCTGAAGCATTTTGTCATGCACTTCACGGTTTAACTAGGATCTTAAAAGATGCTCATCTATTGCAGTTGTTTCTACCTTTGTGTTATGATTGATGAATATATACTGATTTCCTTAGAAATTAATTGAAGTTTACTAGAATAAAGTAACAAACAAAGGACACCAATTAAAAGGAGTTTGGTTCGATGTTATTTAGATAATAATTTCATCTTTAAAATGTAATGCTTTTGGTCTAATATGATTTTATTTAAAGAATATAATATTTTTTTTAAAAATTAAGGGGTATAAAGATATTTATTTCATTTTATCATTTTTTAAGCTATCAAGATTGAGGTAATTTAGATTGCATCAAATTTGGTTATTTAGAGTTCCGCAATCTTAGCTTTTAATGCTATTCAGATTATGTCAATATGAGAAATGACATCAAACTAAACATCTCTTATCATAAATAAAATAACATTAGATCAAAGAAAACATTGAACCTAGCAACCCCTTAAGTAGAGGACTATCTCAATCTCTTCCTTTGCAGGTTTTTCATGGTATCCACAAAAGTCTTTTTTATCTCAATTTGTTTATTGGAATTTTGCATACGGCAGTTAATTTCTTGCAATAACTTGAGCAGTATTTATGTCATAGTTGTCTCTCAACTCCATTTACAATCTGTCTCAAATTTATGGCCAACTTATTTGAATATTATCAGTATGTTCATTCTGGATATCATATTTTCATTATACTAAATAAATAAAACCTTATTAAGCCTTGTGGTAACATATAACTTACTACATACCTTATCATCACAATCAATATTTTTATATTCCCTGTCCAACTATTCTTAATTGTTTTATTGTTTTGTGAAAATTAGTTGGATTTTTTTCTTTGTTCTCATCAGATAAGAATGCAGGACGGTCAGACAATCTGAATTTTGAGCATTCAACTGTTAATGACCCAAAAAATATTCGCGTCAAGGTATATTGGCCAACTTGTTTTTCATTTGTAAGGTTCTGATTGGCATTTTAACTATCTGCATTTTTTGTCTTAAATTGCTACAGCTTCCATGACCAAACAATAACGTATAGCGTATCATCATGTTCTATTTTGAACAGTTTTCAGCCTTCAACTGTTTAGAAAGCGTTGTTTGACTTTTTTTAAGGAGGTCTAGGTGAACTTGGGTTAGTTTTGAAGAAGAAAATAAAAATAACTATATTTCCCATATGACATACCTTTTAAGATTTATAGAGTTGTATTTTTACATGAGATTCCTATTATGATTTCTTGAGTTATGGGACATAGTGTAGTCTGGTTAACAAATCTTTTATGAAATCCTAATCAATAAAGAGTTTCAAATGGCGAGAATCATTTCGATAAAAATAAAAGATATATTTATTTTTATAATTACTTGAGAATCAAACTTAGGACATAACAATGCTTTTTGAGAAAAAAAAATGAATAAAGGCTTTGAAAAATCACATTGGTGTCTGTTTGATTTTGCGCTAAAAATATCTACTATGAAAGCAATTTGGTGCAAGAAAACTAATGGAGAAATATAGTGATTAATGAAAGGATCTACATTTAGTCTTTATCAATCTTTAAAAAACTAATGGTGGCTTTGGGTATATTTGATTTTATGCCAGAAAGATCTATTGCAGAAGAAATTTTTTGTGCAAGAAAAGTAAAGAAGTAACAATTAATGAAAGGATCTACATATGATTTTTATCAATCTTTAAAAATCATTATTGAGCACTAAAAGAAATGATTTGGTGAGCATCATGAAAAAATATATCACAAATGTTAAGTTATGGAGCTTAATTTTAGCCTTATGAAGAAAAATATTTCTGTAAGCCTTATGAAAAAATATACACTTAGTCGTGGATCGTCATTCCAAATAATAATGGGGCTAAAAATAGGATTTGAAAAAAAGTAGAATTTAAAATTTCATATAATATTTTTGTAAGCTAAATCTTGCTTAATTCCATCTTAAAATAGGATTCCAAACAACCCCTTAGAAAATATATTCAAAGTGACAGTATTGTGAGATTTGTTATTCTAGATAACATGGTTACTATAAGTTAACTCAAGTAAGTGGAATGCTAGAAAAAGTGATTTATGTAAGATAAGAGGTTTTATGCTAATAGAACAATGATTAAGTACATAATTTACAATTTAACAAATATAAATAGGATTTAGAAATGAATATAACTTCTAGAGTAAAAGCTAAGTAGTTAAAATGAGAAAAAACTTGGAAGTATTATGTTATCAGAGAATGCCATGGAGACTTATATGTAGGGGTGTCAATTCAGGTCAACAGGTCGGGTTCGGGTCGAACTCGACTTGACCCGACCGTAAACGGGTTGACCCTAACCCGACCCGTTTGAGGTTTGTCAACCCAGACCTAACCCGTGCGGGTTACCGGGTTGACCCGACCCGACCCGCGAACAGCTGCGGAGCAGTCCGAGTGGAGCGGGTTTGTCGAGTCTGGCGGAGCGGTAGCTTGGCCGCTCGTGCTATCAGGCAAGACGCGGACGGCAGCAAAAAAATAGCTCGGCCGCTCGAGCAAGACGCAGGCCGGACTCGGCGGACTCGAGTGAGAGCCGTGAGGCTTTGGCGCTTTGCAGGCTGGACCGACGGTGGAGGGCGGCGACACGCCGAAGGCCTGACACAGACCAGCGGATGTGACACGATGCGAACGGCGGACGCGACCCCTGACGTGGACGTGGCCAGACGCTGGCACGCTACACGGCTGCAGCTGAGGCTTTGACGCGACGCCCGTCCTCACGCGCGGGATGACCAAACGGGTCAATCCGGGTTGTCGGGTCAACCTGAACCCAACCCGTTTTTCAAACAGGTCAGAAATCCGAACCCGGACCCGACCCATTTCACAAACGGGTTGACCCGAACCCGGATTTTTCCGGGTCGGGTTTGGGTCGGGTTTCGGGTCGGGTCAACTTTTGACACCCCTACTTATATGTAAGTTCTCTTAGTTGTAATTAGAATGTTATATGGATTTCAGTTTTGGTGATGAAAAATAATTGACACCCAAGATGATCATAGCAAAAATTAGTTTGCTAAGATGAACATACATTGAAATTAGGGAGGATGGAGTGAAAAATTATTAAGGTAGTAGCACCTATTGAGATAAAATGGTGAAAAAATAGATATTGTGGAGTAGAGTTAATTAATGGGATAGATTATGAAAGAGATGGAGTAACTAAAGTTACTGTAGTTGTCTGTTTTAAAAAAAAAAACTTTACAAAATAGAGTTTGCTCTTTTAAACACTTTGCGTAAATAAATGGAGTAGGAGGATTTAAGCTTGGTGCCAAATAATTGGGGTTAGAATGATGTTGATGAAGATGATTTCAGACTTATAAGTTGGATGATTTTTACTACTAGCTTTGCAACCTATCAACTGCTCATCTTCCCATATTGCTTCTTGTGATGATGCAGATGCTCCGCTAGACATGCTGCCCACCAGTTTTTTTCAGGATCAACGGGGTTATTTGCTACATGCATTCCTTGATTTGTTGTAGACAACATGTTAATTTCATTTATCGTTTTTCCCTTTTTAGTGGGCTAGTCATGGCATGATTTTTTTCTTAACTTTATTTCTATTTTAAATTTACGAAAAAGAATATAAATATTGGACCCCTCTTATTAGGGGTGTCAATATTTGACTAGACCTGAAACTCAACCCGGACCCGACTCGAAAAATTCTTGGTTCATGTCAACCCAATTATGCAATTTTAAACCTTAAATAAAATGAAGCTTTTTACATCTCCAATTTTCTAAATTTAACATTAATATCTCTGGCTATACATCTTAATCTACTTGAATCTCACGTATCTAAATATCAGTCTTTTGAATTCCCCGAAAGCTCCAAGATCGCATACAATAAGTAAGGTACAAAAGGATTGCCTTGTCCATCTGACAAAAAAATTCAATCAAGAAGGTAGATTAATGCATTTCTCTTGAACCCAATGTTTAACTCGAGGCCTCACATTGATTCACAAGGACTAAATAATAATGATTTTGAGGATGATCTAAACATTCGTATTGCTTCTCTCATGAAGAGCATAGTACTTGTTTAAATCGCCTGATAATGCATATGTTATATGAAAAACTATGTCTTTAGTTTTTGTCTTAACTACAAGTCTTTCAAGCATAGAAATTTCAAACAATATTTAAGAAGTCTTAAAAATATCTGAATAGAAAAATGCACTTCATTATAAAATTCAAGCATGTGAAAGAAATGATGTGTGGAACCTTTCAAATCTTCCCATAGGGAGGAAACCTACTGGATGGAGATAGATCTTGTGAAATAAGCCAATGAAAGTGCCGAACAACAAAATAAGATTAGGTGCAAAAATGGTATACTCAAACCTATGGAATTGCTTATTATAAAATTTTGCTCCAGTTCCTAAGATAAGCACTATTGGGTAATTTTTTGTCTTGTTGCTAATTTGGATTGGTCACTCCATTACGTAAAAATGTCTTTCTAAATAGAGAGAAGATAAAGTATATGTAATAATTTCTTCTGAATTTGAAAGTATGAGTAATATGGACCAAGTTTGCAGGCTCAAGAAATCTTTATATGGCTTAAAACAAGAGTTTGATTTGACAAATTCATGATGATAATTAAAAGGAATTGATACTCTCAAGGACAATATGTTATATTTTATTTACCAAGAAATCATTGGTAAAATTTCTATGTTGGTGTTTTGTCCTGATGTTATTATCTTCAAAGAAAATCAGGAAGAGTTAAACAAGATAAAAGGTGTCCTAGCTAAAGAGTTTGAAATGAAGGATCTTGATTTATTAAAATATTTTCTTGGTATTAAAATAGTTAGATCAAGCAATGCGATATATATATCTTGCAATAATAATACACCTTGGTCTTACTAAAGGAAATTGATATGCTGGATTGGAAACTTGCAATCACAACATTGGATCCATCAATCAAAGTTGGGACTAAGGAAGATTCAACCTTAGTTGTTAATGGAAAGCACCAATGGTTAGTAAGAAACTTTATCTTCCTATCTCACACCAAATTTGATATTTGCTTTCTTGTTAGTGTTGTTTGTTAGTTTATAAATAATCTCACAAAGGAGGACCTTGATTCTATATATAGGAGACTGAGGTATCTTAAAGATACACTTAGGAAAATGTTATTATTCAAAAGTGGACTAGCACACGTATAACGCTGACTGGACTTGACTTGTACATATTGTAAACCCGCATCTTGTTATTGCTCATTCATTTGGGAAAATTTAGTCACTTGGACCAGTAAAAATTATTGTAGCTATGAGCAGTTCTTAAGTTGCTTTAACCCACTCATGAAATTTGTGGGTGTGTGCGACTGAAAAATGCCTTCTGGATGATTTAAAAGTTTCTACTATATAACCTACGATAATAAAGTGTGATAGTTCACCATAGTATGAATTAAGTATATTGAAATAAAGGAGAGAATTGATCAAAAAAATAATCTTATGTTAAATTTACTATATGAAAATTTTAGATTGTTGATATTCTTACTAAAGCTCTTAATCAATCACAATTTGAAAATCCTACTTTCAAGCTATGAATAATCAACATTCATGCAAGCTCATGCCAGTTCATGACCTGTCCTGAAAATGCCATCTTGCCTGCCAATTGTTTCCTGCATTTCCGCTTGCCTTACAACCCACCAGCTACTCCTTAGCCTGCCTTGCTGCTTGCTGATGATGTTCCGCAGCCAAGCTATTAACAACTTTCCTCTTGATTAGTCGTAGGGTTATATGCTGTATTCATTCCCCAAATTTTATAGCAGACCATTATGTTGATTTCATTATTATTTTTCCCTCTTATTGGTCTGCTTATGATTTGATTTATTCCTTAGCTTTCTTTACTCATAACTTAGACTATAAATATTGTACCTCTTCTACGTATTGGAATAAGAAAAGGTAATGTTCTTCTGCTATATTTTTCAACAACTTGTGCATTATTGGGTCGAATTTTGATTAGATTAGGTGGACCTTGATCTGGTTCCATTTGGATATAGCTAATGGTTCAGTCTGTTGTAGGGTTATCTGTATAATCTAATTATACCTACAATTGTTTTAGAAATCAAGTACAAATTGATCCATTTATCAGGCTCTGTAGATTCATTAAATGATAGATGTATACTTGAAATTTATTGGGATCTTCTTCCTATGTTTTTTCAAGTGACTACGCATGGTTGGTCTGTACTGGTCGGATTCTTAGCAATATTTCTGTTTCCTTTGCAAACACCTCAAATATCCTACTAAAAAACTTTTATAAGTGCCTAGATTGCAACGTTTGCTCTTGAAATTCGATGTGCTTTCAGTGTTGACGAGTTGCCTACACCTTTCTCCTAACATTTTATGTTCTTTTCATTGTACAGCTCTTCAAAATACCAATTGATAGGTTGGGATTGATTCATTTTCTCTCCAATTTTGTTTTCTTTATCCTGAGTCTACTTTGATTTATGTATAGCTTGCTGCATCCTTTGTATGAGGTTTGAGAGCCCTGATTCCATATCAAATATATTGTGATTACTTGGTACTAAGCACTTGTTGGAGAACGCTGAAAGATTGCAGTTAGTACTTCGAGGTCTTTGTTTGAACTTCTTTCTTTCTTTTGTAAAGAAAGTTCAGGTCTATTGGCCACCCTCCATGGTTTGCATATGCATTATTTTAAATGATCAACAAACATTTTGGGGAGAAATACATTACCGTTACTTTTTGCTGGTTATAGCTTTGTTACTTACAATACACTCAATTGATAGTGTATTTGTCCTATTTATTCTTGTACTATGAAACTGTTTCTTTTTTTTTATTATTTGTTTATATCTGGGTGCTTTGTAGTTGGTATTACTAGGTGATTCAGGTGTTGGTAAAAGCTGCATTGTTCTACGCTTTGTTCGAGGACAGTTTGACCCTACCTCTAAGGTATTTATTTAAAATTTGCAAGTAGATATAGTTTGTTGAATATTTGACTTCTTTGGATAAGTTAAGGTCAAGTTTTTTTTTTTTTGGATAAAAAGCAGCAGGCTTCTCATGGGTTTTCGCACTTGTTTTGCCAGTTTCATGGTAGAAATTGTTTTGGTTAAACTTCGTACTGTAGTGAATTCTTATGGATTATAGGTGACAGTGGGCGCATCATTCTTATCACAAACTATAGCCTTGCAAGATTCCACAACAGTTAAATTTGAAATATGGGACACAGCTGGGCAGGAGAGGTATGCTATCATTTAATGACGCAACTGTGTGCAACTTCTTATCATCATCTATGATATTCCTATTGATTACTGTAATAGTATATAGTTGCATGTGAATGTGCTGCTGTTTTAATTGATAAAAATGGGCCTGCATTATCTATAATAAATGTTATATTCATTCATAGCTAATGTAATGTAGTTTTTCACTTTTTTGGCGGTACATGGGGTGTAAAATGTTGTGTTTAATGTTGATTCTTTGATCTGTTTTGCTTCTCTCAGAACTGAGTGGTTTCCTTAAAAAAATAGTGTGTTCATTTAGCCTTAAATCAATTGGCTATTTATAGCAAATCCATTTTGTAGGTATGCTGCATTGGCTCCGCTCTACTATCGGGGAGCAGCTGTTGCAGTTGTTGTGTATGACATAACCAGTCCAGATTCTTTCCTCAAAGCGCAATACTGGGTTAAGGTACTGTAGACCATTTGCCTGTTTTGCTCAGCATCCAATCTTAATTGCAATTTTCTTATGATACATGGCTGGTTAATTGTGTTTTTCCTTGAAAGATTAGACTTTATATGAATTCATAAATTATGTCACAGGCATTTTGCGTTGATGATGTGCATGCATCCTGTTCAGTTATGAGGATTAAATAAAATCATTTATGTGTTTCTCAAATATTTTACATTATTGCAGCTGATATTTAGATTCACTTCAAACAAACTAGCGTTGTTACTCTTAAAATGAGGTGCCCTAGTATATACTTTTTTCTAATGATATATTTATAATTGATGAGATATTTTAAAAATAAGTTGAAAGTTAAAACAATGTGAAAAATATTTAAAAGATGTCTTAGAATTAATAGCACATAGACCTAATATATAATATACAATTTTAGCAGTTGTGATTTTGACCACCATCAATCAATATTATTTGAAGATAGAGTGTTACAAAGGTGTCATAAGTTTATATATATTGGATCTATTATATAATAGAATAATGGCATAGATGATGATATAAGTTTTAGAATTTAGGCTAAGTGGTTAAAATAGAGAAAGTTGTCTGTAAGTATTTTGCGATACGAGAATATCATGGAGACTTAAATTATATAAAATTGCATTTAGATCAACAATATTGTATGAATTTGAGTACTGGATAGGAAGAAGGTATTGACAACTAAGTCTGAGCATGAAAAAAAATAAGAAAGCTAAGATGGATATGAAAGGATACGAACTTAGACGATTATAACATTTACAGCAAATGATAGAAAATGCATCTATTAGACAAATAATAAGAATATTGTTGGAGGATTATGAGGAAAAGAGATAAACCTAAGGTGACATGGATATAAGTTATTTAAAATAATTCTCAAAGAATAGTTTTAATACCGCAAGCAGCACTCAACATGAATAAATAAAAAATGAGGATTCATAAAAGTGGCCCTAAATTGTTGGGATGTGACTGATGATGGCGATGATGATTGATGATGATGATGATAGTAGTTATAGCATTGATTTTGTCAAAGGCTGGTTCTATATGTGCATCTTGATTTGTAGTGCTTGATCGAGGGATATCTAATCATGAGTGGTTAATTGTAATTGTGTACTTATGGCTTAATGTATCCTTATAGATGCATATGGCTTACCTGCTTATGAAATGTTATGTTCTTATAAGGTGCAGAAGATGCCTTTTCTTGATGCAGTTGTGATTGGGATAAGTTTTGGTGGTGGACTCGTTTGAAACAAAGTAATTTCTTGCACTACTACCTCAAGCCACACATTAGTAAATGGAAATAATTTGATAATATAAAGCATTTTCCCCCCCTTAAAATATTACCTGTTCTTTCTTGGCTAGATGCCTGTCTCTTTGCTAAAATGAATGTTCTTCTTGTTTGGATTCCTTTGAAACAAACTAATTTCTTGCATTACTACATCAAGCCACACATTAGTAAATGAAAATAATATGATATTAGAAAGCATTTTTTCCCCCTTAAAATATTACGTGTTCTTTCTTGGCTAGATGCATTTCTCTTTGCTAAAATGAATGTTATTCTTGTTTGCATAAATTACTGCATTGGGTTATTATTTGTTTATATCAAGATGTTAGCCCGCTGAATTTTTTTATTTTATTAAATCATCCCATCCATCTTTCTCAAGAAAGGAAAAAGGAAATCTTTGCGGACAAGTTAATGTTAAGGTTTGGAGGTTAAAATATAGAAATGTGTTACAATTATTATGTGATATGAACATATCATGGAGATTTAAATTATATAAAACTTCAGTTTGTCAGATATTGTCGTATGAATATGAGTAATGGGTAATTAAAAGATGTTGATAGTAAGTTGAGTATGATAGAAATGAGAAAGCTAAGTTGGATGTGGGGCAAAACTGAGAAGGATACACTGAGTGATTGGGACGATTGGAGTAAAAGATATTGAAGATAAGACAAAATATTTGAAATAGACTTATGCGGTATGAACATGTACAATAAATTATAGAAATTGTATTCATAAATGGGTAGATAAAAGTGTTTGAGGATTAGGAAGGAAAAGGAGTAGAACTAAGATAGCGTCAATAGAGGCTGTTTAAAATAATTTGCAGAAAGCTATTTTAACACCTCAAATAGCATATAATAGGAGCAAATTGAAAATAAGGATTCAAAAAGACAATCCCAAATATTTGGGATATGGCTAATGATGATTATGATGAGGATGATAGCAACTAGACCAACTTATTATGTTAAAGACTGATTCAAAATTTGTATCTTGATTTTTAATACTAGATCAGGGTCCAATCATGAGAGGATAATTGAAATTGTATAATTTTAGCTCAATGTATCTTTATACATATGTATATGTAGCCAGCCAGCAATTGCTTTTGATATGTTCAGTTATGTTGTTATAATGTGCAGAGGATGCCTATTCTTGAAAAAATTGTGAGTATAATAAGTTCTGGTGATGGACTACTTTGAAACAAACGTCTTGCATTACTTCCCCAAGCCACACACTATTAAATGAAAATAATGTGATGATAGAATTTTTTTCCTTCTAAATGTTGTTGTACCCTTTCTTTTTTGGCAAGGTACATTTTTCTTCAGAAATTAGATGTTATTCGTGCTTAGCATTAATCATTGCGTAAGATTGTTATTCATTTATATCAAGATATTAACTCACTAAATTTTCTTCTTTTATAAAATCACCCTGATGAGTACATCCCTAAGAGATTTCGGCATACTTACCATCGGAGGGGTCGTCGAGCGACGGCCTTGATTCATAGTCTTTATTTTTGATGTTTTATTTTATTCATGTCATTTATATTTCATGTTTTTTCCATTTGTACCCCTATGAGGGAGTTAGTGCTTGTTGTAGCCCAAGGGCAATGTCGTCTTTATGCTTTTTATTTTCGGTTGGCCTATATATAGGCTTAGTCATTGCATTTGAGTTAGTTTTTGATGAATGAAAATTTGCCTCTTATGTTCTCTCTGTGAGTTCAACCCTCCTCGATCTCTTAGTGAGTTCGTTGGAGAAGATAGATTTCTTTGTGAGTTCTAGATTTTCGTCAAACTATTTTTGTCTTCGAGAGTTCTAAATTTTCGCCAAGCTATTTTCATGGAGATCCGGATTGAAGATAATTGAGGTGAGTGGATTTATAGCAAATCGAATCCCTAGAAATTCCCCTCCTCCCTTCCCCTCAACCCTTGTCGCTGCCTCCCCTTGAGCAGCCCAGGCTGCCGGCCTGCAAACCCCCACCCGTCGGCCAGCAGCCCGCCGGTCACCCACTGGACCCCCTTTGCCGCCGACCCCCTCTAGCTCTCCCATTTGAATTTCGAATTCCCCTCTCTTAATGACTTTCCTAATTAAGCCATATTAAATTTGGGAAATTAATTAAGAGGAGTTACACACGTTTGAAATTCAAATTCAAATTCCCTCTTATTTTCATTTGAATTTGGGAGTTACTTATGAGAATCAATTCATATTTTAATTAAATCCTTGATTAAAGTTGTGGTCCCCACTCTACTTATGACAATTGTGCTCTCCCCTCTCTCCATGTGGCTGTCCCCCTTTAATGGGTTTTTCTCTCTCCCAAATTAAATTAAAAGCTCCACCAAATCAGCCCCATTTACCTCCTCAATTAACGCTCCTAGTCATTAATGAATTAATTTGAAAATTCAAATTAATCTCCCTCCAAAACTACTTGGAGCTGAATTTAATTTAAGTTTTCCTAAATCCCCACCCCCCTCCCTCTAGCTCACGGCTAAACCTCCCACACCTAGCCGCCACCTCCTCCCCTCCTCTTCCCCTTGTTTCCAACGGTGCTCCTTCATCTCCCGACAAGGATGCATGGCTGAACCCGAATTGAACTTTGGATTTGTGTATGACGATCGAGATCAAGTCGACATCCCCCAATTGCCGTTCTTTGACGTGGGCTTTGATTTCGACGACACCGTTGAACACTACATCGACTGTATCCAATACGCCTTAGTTGACGTGATCGACGAGCAAAGATCAAAGAGACGTTGGATCATCATTGGACGACCATCTTCCTCCACCACTCCGGCCATCTTTCCAAGAACGACGATCTTAGGTTCCTTCTTCCTCGGAGTGACATCGATTCTAATGTGGAGACTCTTCTGCCGCTAAACCCTAGACTATTTGAGCGTATGAGCTTCAAAGGTGAAAGCTCTCATTATTAAATTGTGGATTGTTGTTTAATAGCTCTTAGTATTACTACTATTTTTGCTTATCTACTAGGTTTGGTTAATCCACATGTGCTCCTTCGCCTAAGCAAATGGAAAGCTAAGATTCTTTATTGAATTGCCTTGTTATTATAATAAGCTATTGAGTGGAATTACATTGCCAACTTGTTCTTAAATTCCTTAATGAGCTCCTGCTCATTTGGTTTCACATCACACCCTCCATTTTTCTCTAGAAAATAAAACCTTGAGTGGACAAGTTCATGTTTGACTAACCTTCTTGTTGTGGAAATCTTCGTGTGAGTGTTTTCATTAATCAATCAGGCTTAGCAGATGACTTTCAGCACCAAACTTAATCAGGTATGGCGTAGGTCTGTTTTCTACTTTTGAAAGAATGGCCAATTAAACTGCTGTCAAATGACCCAGCTAATATATCACATATACTTGTATCAAATAGGGAAGTTCTAAACTTTAACCTTTCAAGTTGATAATATACAACAACAACAACTAGTCTATTCCACTATGCGGGGTCAGTTTTTGATACAGGTAATTGAAAAACTAGATATTGCCTAGCTAGCTCAAATGAACTGAACCTTGAAGAGCAAGGAATGTGATGCTTGGTAAGTTTCTAGTGGTTTGATCTGGTTTGACACCGGACCCTGTTAAAAAGCTTCGAGCTATTTTTTTTTTTAATTGTACCTACTTTTTTGTGTTATGTGGAGAGGACCTCAAAATTCATACAAAGCCTCCCACTTCTATCATCATCTAGAAGTAATTTAAGCTGTTGAAACCCCCCTTACTGTGACAATAAACCATGCATGTTTACCAGTGAGCCATCCTATTACCCTTGCAATAGATGTGGAACTCATTCTCCTAAGCATACTGGTAAGTGTTTTATAGTGTATTTTTATGAAGGGGGCCATGACACCAAACCTACGATTGATTTTTATGCGGACCTGAAATTTCGCTCAAGCAAAAATAATTTGGTAACAAGATATAGTTTTCCCTTGATTTTATCTTCATTTCTGTTTAGACTTGTTACAATTCATGCAATCACGTTTGGTTAAATAAATTCATCCTATGATTTGAATATAGAAAATACTTGATCTGCCTATATATTTGATTTGAAGAATACAAACATATTAGTTAATATTTGTATCTATTATGCCGACAAAAATTTACATCCCACTCCACATCACAATATCCCAGCAATCTAATGAAAATATGTAAATCTTTGAGTGCCAACTTTATTGTTTTTTAGGCTAGTCAATAAAATATGCAAACATAATGATCTTCTTTTGGTTGTCTTTCAAATTTCTTGTTTTGTGACACACTGAAAGATCTATTAAAACAGAGTTCACCTTTGTCCCGGGATTGCTTCAATTCTCTTCTTTACTCTTTTTTTTTTCCGTTGAATATGCTTTTTACCATAGCACTGTTCGTTGTTGTTGAGTTCCATTTTGAACAGACTTTTCTTTCCTAACAAACAGGAACTTCAGAAACATGGAAGTCCTGATATTGTGATGGCTTTAGTGGGCAACAAGGCTGACCTGCATGAAAATAGGAGAGTATCTGCTGAAGTAAGAACACCGATTATCAGACTTACTATAGGCAATTGTTGATGTTCTCAATTTAGTGTCTTCAACATTGCTTGAGAGTCAAACATGTTGCTTTATTATTGTAGGAAGCAGTTGAGTATGCAGAGAAAAATGGCATGTTCTTCATCGAGACATCGGCAAAGACTGCCGATAACATTAACCAGCTATTTGAGGTATGGGAGTCAATCATATTTCCACTTCATGCATAAGTATTGCGATTCAAGAATGTCAGTTATTTCTTTGTTAAGAAGTTCAGTAATTTTTTTGTATAAACAGTTCTTTTATCTGTATAAATTATTTATGGGGCTTGAGATTTTGGTCATTTTACTTCAAGCCCATAAAATGAATTTTATTTGTTGCTTTGAGTTTAAAGTTTAAAATAACAACCTAGATAGGTTGTTACTAAAAGACTACCAACTGAAGTATTTGTTGCAAACTGAGAAGAGAAGAAATTTAGGTAGAGAAGAAGAGAGCTAAAGAGAAGGTATCTTTTCATATATTTGTCCATACACAGTACATTGTCTATTTATACTAAGGGAGATACCAAATGTTCTGCTGTAGGTAATAGACCCGTGACTATTCCTTGTATAATATGAATAGGGGTGAGATGTAATGAATACCGGTTCTGCAGAGAGGTGAATCCCAAAGGCTGCAGCGGAGTAGGAAAGTGACTGATATAAGGAGGCTTGCTTATGAAGTGCAGATATCTGATATCGATTTTAACTCCACCCTGCAAATTAAGGATCTAATGCTTGGATCGTTAATTTGTCACAAAGGATACTGAAGTGAGAGAATGGAAGAGTTTTGGTGATGATGTCTGTTGGCTGGTCCCTGGAGTCAACGTGATGGACTGAGATTCCTTTGGAAGAAATGTTGTCTCGAATGAAGTGATAATTTATCTCAATGTGTTTAATTTTTGCATGAAAACCTCAAAGCTTTTTTCACAATGGAGTGGAGTCGCTGCTAGTCGCTGCTGGCAATAGAATGTTGAAGTCATGTAGAAGATGTCGAAGCTAGACGATATATGAGGCGGCATAGGCAAATGCACATTTTTCCGCTTATGTAGATGATTTGGATATTGTGGGTTGCTTTTTAACGCTTCAAGATAGAAGTATATTACCTAGATAGGTGCAGTAGCTAGTTGTGAATTTTCAGTCATGGGTGTCAGAAGCATTACCTAGATTGGTGCAATGGCTAGTTGTGAATTTTTAGTCCTGGGTGTCAGAGGCCCAATCAGAATCTCAATAGGAGGGGGGGGGGGGGGTGGGGGGGGGGGGGGGATTGGATTTGGTGATTGGTAGTCCAAGGTGAAGAGTGTGTGCATGTGTTGGCAGAGCAAATTGGTTGTAAAGGCAATATGTGGTTGTGTTATGGTGAGGTATTGGAGGGAACCAGTGATTTGCCGAAAGAGGGTGGGATTAGGATGCGGCGGGTCGCTATCAGAATGAAATGCCTGTTTTAAAACTATGGGGGTTATTGCGAGCTTGCTGCCTGTGAGACCAAATTTCTGAAGCAGCTCGTAAGTGTATTTCTATTGAAGAAGAAAGTAACCATAAGAAGTATAATTGATGGGGACATCAGTTGGAAAGTCTACCGTCGACACCGTCGACGTGGCCGTAGATCTACGGCCACGATTTATCCAATGTACTTTTGATTTTATTATTGTTGTTTTCTTATTGATGTATTTTATTTCAGCATTTTTCCCTTTTTACCCTTGCTTGAGGGATTGAGTCATGTAACCCCTTGAGGGTATTTGAGTCCTTTTGCTTTAAGTCATTGTAATAGGCTATTTAAAGCCTTCATCTTGTACTTTTGAAGCTAATGAATGATATTAAGAAAATTTTCCTGCATTTGTCTTCTTGGAGCTTTTGTGAGAGCTTGGTGGAGCCTAGGAGAGGCCACCCGTCGTACCCAACAGTCACCTCCGGTGGCTCTTGTTTTTTCCTCTGTTCTTCTTTCCCATCGACCCAACGTTCACCGCCGGTCATCTCCCACCACCAACCACCACCCAATAACCCTCCTATCAGAGCTCACTTTCATCCCAATCACAAAACCCAACCCTCTCCATCATCCCGCCGGCCCTCCCTCTAACCGCCGGCCTCCCCCTTCATCCACCACCCCACCTCTCCGTTAATCGCCGGCTCCTTTGCCGCCACCTCACGTATTTTCAAATTTGAAATTTGAAATTTTGATGAGTTGAAAGTTTCCAAATTTGCCAGGTGCCAAATTAGGAAAGTTTCAATGAGGTTTTAATTTTCAAATTTGAATTGAAACGGATTTGAAATTTTTCGTCATTAATTAGTTTGAGCGAATTTGGAAACACATTACACTCTCCCCAAACCCCTTCTCCCCTCACCATGCCGCGGGCCCTCTTGGTGGTCCCCTCTCCTTTAATGCTTCATTAAGGGACTTGATTGCATGCTATTTGAATTTCTAAATCCACTTATTTTCCTTCCATTCTTACTCAAATCTGAGAATAATTTCAGATTTGGGAATTAAAACGATTTCTATTCCACCTAACCTAGCTCCTCCCAACCCTAGCCATTTTCCCCCCTTACAAACCGCCGGACTCTCCCCTCACCGCCCACCCTCTCTCTCTCTCTCCCCCCCCCCTCTCAAGGTGTTTTCTCCTTCATTGATTTGAGATGTATGATCGATCCGGAGTTTGATTCCGGTTTTGCGTACGACGGCTAAGATTGCGGAGAACTTCTCAACTTGCCTTCTTCAACTTGACTCCAAACATTGTAGGATTCAAACAGAAGGCCATCTACCACTTGCTATTCATTTTAATCAAGGCTAGGGAAGAGAAACTACGGAAGGTACGTGGTGAATCAAGACATTTTCTCCGAGAAGGTGATCTTCTTCCTTGACTCATTTACTTTCAAATTCTACCTACCTCAGTGAGAGATTGTTCAAGCAAGAGATTGTGTCTACTAATCTCCATCCACTAGTAATCGTAGGATTGTTACTTCTTTGCTTTTAGATCTCATTGTTAGGCCATGGTTACGTTGGAAACTACTCCGCATGCAATGCTTTAATTTTCCTACATGTTTTGATTTCGTTTAGTCTCTTGCGTAGCTTAGCCTAAACGGAAGTGACCACTTATTAGTTTTACGTTGTTGCTTTAATCGCTAATAACGAAAATCTGAAATTGCTCTTTAACTATTTTGTGCAAGCTTCCTATTTCGCATGTAGTCCTGCATCAATAATGTAGCTGAATGTTGAGAAAGAAAGAAATCAGACCAATATTCTTCTGTGAAAATTGTTGTTGGCGTGCTGAAATAGTGCTGGATATGCTGTTGTAATTGTTGCTAATAATTAATATGCTGTCAACATAGACCGGTTGGTAGATCATGATGATGTTTTGTTTGTAGAGGAGAAGAGATAGATCTGATGTGCTAAATTTGAAGCTGCGGGAGATGTGAAATTTGAGATATTAAGTTGAGTTACCGGTCGATTGTGGTGTAGTGCTATAACAAGGAGGAATTGTATGGTTTGCATTTTGGCGACCGGGATAAAAGTTTCAGCATAATCAATGCCAAATTGTTGTTTGAATCTTTGAGCAACCAGACGGACTTTGTAATGATCGAATGCGCCATTAGAGTTTTGTTTTGTTTTGTATGTCCAGAACATCTTAAGATGTTTTGGTTTGTGGGTTGGGAAACACGGGACCAGGTTTTATGTTGATGAAGAGTTGAAGTTTTAGCTGACATGGCTTGGCGCCATGCTAGATGAGTGAGTGCCTTGGTGAAGGAAGTGGGGGTGCCAGCAGTGGAGTAATGGGCTGAGAGAATGAAGATTTGTTTTGGATTGAGGTGCCCGTTCTTGAAGCGAGTTAGCATTGGATGGGAGGCTTGGGGGTTGGAAATAAGAGGGGAGTGAGGAGGTGGCTGATGTGGTGAGGAGGCGGATTGAGAAAAGAGTGAAGTGGCCTCATTTGATAAGGTTGTATTATAATTGGGTGGAGAATTGTGGGAGTCGTCGTCTTAGAGATTGGTTGTAGTGGATGGGGTGGTGTGACAAAGTTAGGTGGGAATGAGTGTTAGTGGTGACGAAATAGAGGATGGGGTTGAGGATGAGAGGGGAGTGGTGGTTGTGGAGTGAGGAAGTTAGAAAGGGAAAGTCTGATTCGTGAAAGCTAACATGACGTGAAACCAAAATTTTGGCAGTGTTTATGTTGCAGCACTAATAACCATGATGTGAGGATGAATAATCAAGGAAAATACATTCGGTGGAGCGAGGTGAAAGCTTGTTTGGAGAAAGAGGTGCCATCTAGGGAAGCATAGACAACCGAAGGTTTTTAAGTGGTTATAATTTGGTGGTAGTTTGTAGAGGTGTTGAAAGGTGTAGAGATATTAGTTGTTTGGACGGTAAGAAGTTGATGAGGTAGGTAGTTGTGTGTAAGGCTTCAAGCGAAAAGGTTAGAGGTAAGTTAGTAACATAAAGTAACGTGCAAGTGGTTTCAATGAGATGATGCTTCCGTTTGGCAACTTCATTTGGTCGAGGGTTTATGGGCAACTGTATTGGTATGAAATACCATGGGTTGAGAGCAATTGTTGTAGGTGATGGGAGTTGTATTGACCGCCACCATCAGACCTTAGGGCTCTAATGCATGAGTTAAATAAGTTTTTCAGCCATGACAGTAAATTTAATGAAGACCTATGAGATTTCAGCTTTGGAATGCATGAGATAGAGCCATGTAAATTTAGAGAAATCATTCACAAAAATAATATAGTATTTGTATCCACTGAATGAGGTAACTGGGGAGGGCCCCCACACGTCAGAATGTGTTAGTTGTAATGGTTTTGAAGTGTTTACCTGTTTAAGCGGAAAAAGATAGCATGTGACTCTTGGGCACATTACAAAATTTGCATAAAGTAAAAGTAGCTGGATTAGAAGTGAAGTTTATTTGCTTGGCGAGTTTAGAGAGAAATGCAAGATGGGGATGGCTGAGATTGGCGTGCCATAAAGCTTGAGAGTGTTGTTGATGGTTCTGTGTTGTTAAGAGAGCAAGATAGGGTGGATTGGACCTGGGAGGGTGGATTGGACCTGTCTTTTATGGTTGTGATCTTGGAGAAGTGTTTCGTTGGTCGTAAGGTCGTGGATTGTAAAACTAGCGATATTGAATGAAACAAAGTTGTTTGAGCGAAAGGGTCGTCCTCGTGTGGCTGCAACGGTGGAGTGTGATGGCTTTGTAAGCGGTATTTTTGAGTTTTCATTTTGAAGATTAATTTCCGTGTAGCATAGCAGTGAATATAGGCCGTCTAGGTTTATGTGAGAAAGTTTGGTGCGGATGGCTGTTTTGAAGGCTTGGTAGGAGGGAGGAAAGCCCTTAAGTATGTATAGGATAATGTACTCATTATCTATGTGAGAACCAGCAGCTGAAATATTATCGACAAGGGACTTGATGTTAGATAGATATTGAGTCATAGACAAATCGTTCATTGAGATGTTGTGTAGTTAACTCTGGAAAGATTGACTGGTTGGAGACAATTTTTCAAGGTAGTCCAAATCTCATAGCAAGAGTTCAGATTTAAGATGTAGGATAGTTTAGTGGGTGAGATGGTAGAGTAGAGTGCAACGGAGAGATTTTAATTGATGAGTTGCCAAGGGTTGTATTCAGTCTTAGGGATGATTTCACCGGCATTGGAGATTGTTTTGGAAGGAAAACATGCGTACCATTTAAGAGCCTTCAAAGTTAGCAGAAAACAACTTTAATATTTGGAATCTCCAAATATGATAGTTGTCCGTTGTATGTTGGATGTGAACTATGAGTTTGATTTTGGACATAGGAAATTTGAGAGGTGGAATGGTGAGTTTGGCCATTGAGGGAGATGAACAGCGGATCGATTTGCTGCAAGGTGAGATGCTCTGACACCATAGAAGACTACACACTGAAGTATTTGTTGCAGTCAGAGAAGAAGTATATTTTCATATATATATATATATGTCCAAACGCAGTACATTATCTATTTATAATAAGAGAGGTACAAAATTTTCTGCTGTAGGTAATAGGCCCATGACTATTCCTTGTATAATATGAGTAGTTAGCGAGGTGTAGTGGAGACCAGTTCTGTAGAGAGGTGAATCCCAAAGGCTGCAGCGAAGTGGGAAAGTGACTGATATAAGGAGGTCTGGTTATGTAGTGCAGATATCTGATATTGATTTTAACAGTTACTGCTAACGGTCATCGGACACGGTGAAAAGATGTTTGAACAAAATATAAGATAGAGTCATTCCCTTGAGGCCTTGATTGAAAATTGAGGACATATGGTACTTTTGCAATCGATTATTATCATTTAAATGATGGAACTTTATAGCAATAACAGTATTTTAAAATACGTCTTTTAAATTGCTTGCTGTCATTATGGGCCGGTTTTGTTCTTTCAAATTAGGTTCTATTTAACACTGTTTCTGACAAAGCTTAAGCTCAAATTGGAAACCAAGTACATATTTTGTACAACTATAATTTCTACCTCGCCATTTAAGTCGAGCTTTTAAGTTTAGTGATTTTGCTAGATTTTGTATTGATGTATAGATTCTGAACAGTCTAAAAACTACCACAAAAAAAATATTTCTGGCTGTTTGGATGGTTTCCGAGGGTTTTTTAGTACAAAAAAGAAGGGTCCAATCTATGGTCAAGAATATCAAAAGTTTTTAAACCTTAAACTTGCTTTTTTTTATTTGGCTTTGTGCTTTTCAATTGCACTTTCCCTAATGTGAACATCAAAACTATGAGAAGCAAAGTGAGTAAAAATTTTCACTAAATCCTCACTTGAAATGTTGGTTTCTAGATTCTTGTCTCTAAATGTGATGCAGATATACAGTCTACTATTTTTTACTGGCCCACATAAATTGTGGACACAATAATCAAGAAACCATTATTTTAAGTATAGCATTGCTTCACCAAAGTACCCACTGGAGTGCTAATAATTAATCAAACCTGAGTTTGAAATTCTTCTAGTTCTTTCTTAAAGGCGCAGATTCAAAAGTATGTTGTTTTAGGCAAAAGCCTAGGGCTACAGTTTTCTGAAACCTTCTTCTGTTATGCTTATGCATCCAACTTTTGATACCAGAAAGAGGGGTGTTTGATGGGGTTTCCTCTGATTTTCGAACCCTCAACAAGAAAAGCTAAATAAAAGAAAACTATAGTAGGAGAAAAAGTAAAAACAGAAGATAAATAGAAGGAATATATTATAAGTGAAATCATCCACAGCGATGTTCTGTTGATTTGCATTTTTTTGAAGTGTTACAACATTTCTGCTTATAGTTATTGAATATATTATAACTGAAATCCTTCCAATAGGGTTTTTTAGTAACATCAATATGTTCTTTTTGCTTCAACCAACTTGCATATATTTTTGGTTTAGGAAGAGAAAACATAGCGTAGCACAGAAATTTCTTGCCAAATAGCTTTTATCAAGTAGCCTCCAATTAAAAGAAATTAAAAATAATAAATCACAAGTTGAACAAGAAATTATTTTTATTACTAAAAATTAAAGAACTGCAAATAATGTAATGAATGAGCTGAAGTGTAAGAATATAGAATATTTTATCTGTAGTAACTTATTCGTCAGTTTATTCTCAAGAAAAAGGACTAGAAGAGTATATTGATTCTTAAGTTCCTTCAAAAACTGATAGAAATATCACTAAAAATATTATTAAAGCTTTATCTTTGGGTAAGACTGAAGGAATCCGAAAAAATTAAAAAGAGTTTTAGATTCCTTAAAAATGACTGAAAAAATGATTGTTCCTTTTTCTGGATCTTCTCAAACTGTTATGGGTGGAAATTCTGTTTCTAATCAATCTAGCACCTTATCAACCACTTGGCAAGACAGATTAATCGATAGAGCCAATAGTTCCAGAGATGATTATAAAATTGAAGAATTATTAATATTGATAGAGATTTATCAACCTTTTCTAATGCTCATCTTAATAGTCAAAATCCTTCTCATTTATATTCTCAAGTATATTTTAGTTCGAGTACAAGCTTATTTAGATATCATAGAGAAATTTCACTTAATTGTCTTGATAATTTTGAAGTCAGAATAAACCAGATCACAAATAAAATTAGAAAATGTGATAGATTCTTTAGGCTTCAAATGAATTAAGTTTATTATGCCTAAACAAGTTGATTTTGAATACCTTGCTAGATTAGAACGGAATATCTTCTTCTTTAAGAGAAGAAAAATCTACCATTGTCCCAATAGAATATTCAACTTTTCAAAATATTGATCAAAGTTTATCTAAAGATTAAGAATTTAAGAATTAAGATGTCTTTTTCATACAAAATTTACTTTCAGAAAGCAGTAAGAAAGCCGTTCCAAACAATGCCTATGTCAAATTGAAGGTTATTTCTTTCATGATGACCAACTTCAAGCTAAGTTTTTTTTTTTTTTTGTTTATCAGGAGATCGCGAAGAGGTTACCCCAGAGGCAAAGTTCCTGATACCTGGCTCTCCAAATTGTTCTCATAGGTATCCATTATACTTTGTTGGAGCTGTTATATTTACTGTGAAGAGCTACTTACAAAGGGTTTCTTATGTACCAATTATAAGGAAAAAAATATTTATATGGACTATGTTTGTTTGTTTGATGACACAAATTTTATAAAGTTTATCAGGTAAATGTCTGCCATGAGGATTGGATTCGAATGTTTTAGAACTATACTTTGAAATATATTAGTTCTCTTTTGATATTATAATGAGAGGATCTGAATTAAGTGAGTCGAGCTGACTCAAATGACTTGTTAACGAGCTCACGTGTTGAATTTATTGATCCATGAGCTTATGCTCAGACTGATTTGGCTTGGCTTGATGGCTTGTTGAACTGCTCAATTTAATTTAAAATATATTTATAAATAAACTTAAATTAATATTATATAATATATTTTAATATTTTTAAATTAATTTGATATTAAAAATAAAAAATATATTAAAATATTAAACAAATATTCTATCCTTTGGCTTGATGACAGTTTTTTTTTGTTGGTTTACTATGCATTTATTTAATATTAATAAATATTCAATAAATACACAACAATCCAATCCAAACCCAAAACCGGACGTTATTTTAGGGTTTTCTTCTTTTATAAATATTCAATAAATACACAACAATCCAATCCAAACCCAAAACCGGACGTTATTTTAGGGTTTTCTTCTAAAAAAATATTCTATCTCAAATTTTTTTAACATTCAAAGATTTCTCATAGCAGAAAGAATTCCTGTTTTTTAATTGATAACCAAACAATAAAACTTTGTGAAAAAGAGAACACTTAACAGATCATGGAAAAGATTTTATGGAAAAGATCTTAATTGCTTCCTATTTGTAATATAATATACTTAACATTCACAATTATTTCAGGATCAAACATCACTGACGATCAAACCCTTTCAAAGAAAAAATAATAAATTTTCTACAGATCAGTCATTTAATATCCCAATTCATGAACCAAAGTGGCTAGATAATTATTAGGTTCGGACACTTGACGTAGCTCTACATCCGGAGGCCAATAACATGTCGTCATGTGCTTTTACTCTTTACCGCGCAGCCCAACGATCCGACCCGGACTGGAACCCAGTATTGCTATGTTTGGGTATTGCTCAGTATTTATTGACAATAACGAGAAATACCACGCTGCCAAGATCAATACCGAGCAATACATAACAATACCGAGCAATACCTAACAAAGCTGGGGTATTGCTAGGTATTAGTCTTGACATAATGGTATTTCTCGTTATTGCCGAGCAATATTGAGTAATACCTAGCAATACCTCGGTTTGCATAAATCAGCCAATATATAGCATCCCGGGTTCGGTCCGGGTCGTCGGGCCGCGGGGTAAAGAATAAGAGCACGTGGCACCATTTTACTGACGTCCGAACGTAGAGCTATGTCAGGACACCGGACCTAATAAAAATTCCTAAATAAACAAAGTTAGATGGAGCCAAATTTAAGCACAAATAAATTAAACAGCTCGACTCACTTAAGAACTCTCAAAATTTCTATAAACCCATCCGTATATTTCTCCACTACAACAAAATCTTCCAGCCCAAAATTTCACATACAGAACAAATAGGAAGCCATGAAAAGTTCTTTTTTACTTGGAAAAAATTCATCTTCCGTTCTTGGAAAAAAACAAAATCCAGAAATTAGAAGTTCGGTTGATTATGCTCGCTCTAATTCTGAAACGAAGGAGAAGAAACAACAGGATTCTGTATCCAATCGCCATTACGAATAGCACCAACAAGTTTTTCCATTTTGCGTTTCGAGAAGCAGAAATTTCATAGGAACCTCCAACGGCCTGTAAGCCTGAAATGGCTCTCACTTCTCCAACTGCAAATGATGTTCCAATGTATTCATTCTCCAAAAGCCCCTGAAAAGCAGATTGTACACCATGATTTCAATCTTCAAGGTAATGTGAGAAAAAAAAAGAGAAACCAGTTTCTCTCTCTAATCTAATATGTCTGTATGTTTGCTAATGTATGGAGGCATACATTTGCATTTGAACATGTAAAGACAAATTTATATGTATATGGTCATCAATATCAACCTGATCTCAAATTTAGATGTACTAAACACCGAGCAAGTGACCAAGCAAGTGATTTGTTAGACCAGTTCAGTCTGTAAATGTGGGACCGTCCCAGGCGAATAGAGGCCGAAGTCTCTGCCTCTTGTACGTGACGATCAAGTCACCCAGTTCAGTAAAACTGATTAGGAATATTTTAGGAGAAGTTTAGGAGGGAAATTTGAATGCAGGGATTATTTAGAAAATTCCTTTTGAATTGTATGCATAAAATAGTTTGTTTTCCTAGGGTTAGGGCATCTTGAATTTGGCTGAAATTTGATATCTCGTGGGATCTTTTGGGCTCTAGCGGTGCTAGAGATTTGGGAGAGATAGATCCTCCTCTCGAATAGAGGATCAATTGTATCTAGTTATTTTCTTCCGTTAGTTTGTGTTCTTGCAATAAAATTCCAATTTTCTTTGATTTTTCGTTGGATTTGTGGAAATTTCTAGCTATTTTCAAGTCACAAATGAAGTTTAGTGCATGTATTGATCAAATTTCAAGCTTAGAGCATAATTCTTGGTCCCTCCAATATGTTGTGTTTATAATGTTATACATTCACCTACCGCATTCTTAAGTGACAGTTCATAAGTTTCACTTTTCTTCTAACCAAACAGCCTCTAAGCAAAGATCTAAGCCTTCTTTGAGTAGATACTTCTTAGCTCGCATCCTCTACATGATGCCCAAACATACATACTCAACTCATCTCTTCCTATTCTCATTCAGTCATACTCCCCATATTATGACTTTATTTTAAGTGACCTCCAAAGCTCACCCTATTTTAAGCTGATGAAGTTAGGGTTAGTCAAGAATTAAAATATTATTAATGAATTTCCAATATGATGAAGATAAGGGGAAGCAAAGCCTGCGAATTGACTCTACAAACCTCACTAAGACCTGAAATTCAAACACCTCCACTTCCCGAGTAATTATTGTGTCCAGACACCGAATGCGCCCACATATCAATAACAAAGCGCCACGTCACTTGGGCGCTCGGTATCGTGCTCGGTAACGCGCTCGGTACCACACTCGATACACTCGGTATGCTCGATATTTTGTCCGGACATAATATTTTTTCTCAGTTCCCTCTCCTCTCCCCTCCCCTCATAACAATAACCTGATTGACTCTGTCATTGAGAACTCAAATCATGAGCTTTCTCAACATTTTCTCCAACAAACACCAAATTTGGATTGCACTTCAACAGAAGAGAAAACCATCTTCATTATTACAATGACATGTACAACTATAAAACAAAGAGGATGAAATCTAGTTCCATATCAACAATCTTTAATTAAGAACAAGGCTGAAGAGTACCATTGTAACTTATTGAGAACTTTTGCACCATGAGAAGGTACAATCTTCAACTTAACACTACTAAATTTGTAGTATTTGGTGCAAGAATATAAGTGTTGTTGATTTATTTTTTTTCTAAATTACAGTGAAGAGAATCAAGGTCAACTTTGACAAGGAGAAGATGGTGCTTGAGATGATCCTCTTGCATACCATCCAGTTCTAGAAGCTAATTGGATAAGCAGTTGCTATTAATCGATTAATTTTATAATTGGGGGACAAGTGCAGTCCCTTCTCTCAAGCACTGTAGAAGCTAAGCCATTTAATTGCGGACCCTAGCCTACAATAAGGACTTCAACATACAAAAAAAAAAATGCTTACTCGCCTGTCCTTAGCGGCCCTTCTTTTGAAGATCTCCACCTCTTTCTAGGAGTTCATGTGTTGCATGCAAGAAAATGAGGTATTATGGATCTAATTCAATTCAGCAAGTGTCCAACCACTCCAAGGGATCGAGCCCAGCCCTACGCAACACCCAAAAAAAAGTGCATCATTCTTATTGTTGACTACTTCAATAAATTGATTGAAGCTAAGTCCTTATCAAAGACAAATTTTGTCATCACTTGATGCTTCATCTAAATGGACATCAAATGTTGATATAAGCATCCTTTGATCAACATGATTACAATTTCCCTATATTATCAAATAAGATCCTGCAAGTTTTCAAGCAACAAAAGGGCATCCACTTCAAAGTTATTCTAGTACACAACCCAAAGACTAAAAACCAAGTTGAGATGTCAAACTGATGTAGAACTAGATGCGTATGTAAATATCCAATGTTGAAATTAAACGCCTTAGATTAGAACAACAATAATTATTCTAACTTTTAGCGATTTAAATAGAGATTAAATACAATAAGAGGGGTGATGTAGCTTAGGCCAAATTACACGATAATCATCTAGGATCATAACATTAACCAATTCAATCAAGCTTAGCATAATATGGAGGATTTTCAAAGTAAATCCCTAAATTAACATTTAGACTAGTCACTATTCGGATTCACTCACTCACACTCTTAATAAGTCAGCTTGCTGAGAAAATTTGCACAATCTTATGATGCCACAATTGAGAGGGATCGAGAAGGAATAAAGTTTGAGAGAGAATTCACTTTCATTGAAACTCGGAAGAGAGTGGACGGCAAAATACGGAGTGCTGAAATTTCTGGAAAGCAAATGGGGATCTTCCGAACAGCAGGACAACGAGGGAGACTTGCTGAAATTTTTGGACAGCAATCTGGAATCTCCCGGAAAGCAGGGCAGCAAAGAGGAATGGCTGAAATCTTTGGACAGCAACTTGAACTGCTCTTGGACAGCAAATTGGGTGAATGAGAGAGGTGGGACAGCAACCTTTAAGTTGACGAAATTCTGTAGGAGTCAATGTCCAGGAGGAGGAAGTTGAGTGGTCGGCCAAGGCTAAGTAAATAGGGCTGTTTTGGTTCAGATTTTGGTTGTGGACTAGGAGGGATTCAATTCAAATTTCTGCAATTAAATTCAGATTTGATAATGGAGATAATTAGGGAACTTGATTTTAATTTCCCTAAAATGAAAGAGAGAAAGCGGGAATAAGGGGAAGGGGCGACCAATTGGCTCCTTAATTGGAATTCCCAATTGGGAATGAAGCAATTAAAGAGAGAAAGAGAGGGAGCCGTCCAAAAGGAGGGAAAAAGGAAAGGAGTCCTCATACGTAGAATGTGTCCATATATGTTGAATGTGTCCACATACATATAATGCATCCACATACGTTGAATGTGGATTTAAAATCAAATCCTATTTAATTGCATATTTGTAATAATTGGGGGCTTTCCTAAAATAAGTTATATCATTTAGGAAAGAATTTGAATTTGAATTCAAAAACCTTCCAAATTTTTAGGAAAGTGGTAAATCTAGGAGGGAAAGTGGTGGTCGGTGGCTAGGTTTGGAGGGGGCTATGGGAGATGGTGGGGCTTGGGGTAGGTGGGGCTAGGGCCGG